AAATTAGTTGGATATGGTGGCGCATGCCTGTACTCCCAAGAATTTGAGAGGCTGAGGTAGGAGAATTGCCTGAACCCAGGAGTTTGAGGTTGCAGTGAGCTAGGCTGATGCCGTGGCACTCTAGCCTGGGTGACAGAGCAAGACTCTGTCTTAAAAAAAGAAAAGAAACCCATGGAGAGAAGTGGTCTATTTCACTCATTATATTAGAGTAGGAATAACGAAAATGGAAATAGCAGACCCATTTCTTGTAAATCACGATTCATAGCTCCATGAGGACAGAGAGCACGTTTCTTTCTGCTTGTTGTATTTCTGGTATCTGACATGAAGCTCAGCAAAAAATATTTGTGAAATGATTGGCCAAGTAGATAAATGAATGAATGAAGCATGAAACATTTGGAAATGGAAGACCAAATGACGCTCTCAGAGTCAGGATTAGATGATAGTCTAAGTTGTCCAGCTCTGGTTTTAATAGATTACTTTTTTTAAATTTTTTTTTTTTGAGAGAGAGTCTCACTCTGTTGCCCTGGCTAGAGTGAGTGCCTTGGCGTTAGCCTAGCTCACAGCAACCTCAAACTCCTGGGCTCAAGTGATCCTCCTGCCTCAGCCTCCTGAGTATCTGGGACTACAGGCATGCGCCACCATGCCAGGCTAATTTTTTATATATATTTTTTTAGTTGTCCAGATAATTTCTTTCTATTTTTTTTAGTAGAGACGGGGTCTCGCTCTTGCTCAGGCTGGTCTCGAACTCCTGAGCTCAGATGATCCGCCCGCCTCGGCCTCCCAGAGTGCTAGGATTACAGGCGTGAGCCACCGCGCCCAGCCAATAGATTACTTTTGAAGGATCTTTTTACCTTGCGATTGTTCTGCAGTAGTGATGTAAGTAGACATTGGTCAGTTTTGCTTGCCATTCTCTTTTTCTATTAGGTTCCTTTTGGGAAATCACCTCTCCTCATTGAGTGTACTCTTCTTGGGAGGTTGAATCTTGGTAAGCGCTCACTCCATGAAAGATGAAGGAAAGTTCTTTTTTCTGTCTGCACCTGTATAGACCAGTGTGACCTAAACACCTCCAAGCAGATGCTGCTGCTGGAACTTTGCCTCTTGACCAAGTGACCCAAGAATGGAAGGGCTGGTTGGAGGCCATTTATTCTGGTGGCAGTATGCTCACCACACAGTTTCTGCCACAAACCCTTGCTGTGGTCCTTGTTGCCTGGCCCTCTGAAGCTCTAATGACTTCTGACTTGCTCTAAGCCTGGTCCTCTAGCCTTCAGTCAGGTCTCTGAACTGCTAATAACTTTGCAATGAATTTGAATTCCATTCTGTATAAGTCAGCCGGTGTTGACTTACACTACATGAAATGAAGACTCCCAGCTTATAGCACAGGCCTGCTGCTCCTCTAGCAAAATAGCCTGATTTCTTTCACTGCATTTCTCTTCTGAGGCAATAATCCTTGCATGGCCCTTTAAAAAATGCTGTACTGGAAGCTTCCTTCTTTAATACTCATTCCAAGCTATGTTATTTGTCCTTTTCATTCCCAGGTTCTATCTCCTTGTAGTGGATTCTGATAGAGTTGTCTCTCCCTTCTCTGCAATGATTCTTCCTTGTTTGTAACTAATTCCTCACCTTCCTAAGCTGGGCCAATTAGATTTCTCTTTCCTGAGAGTTTAGAAGTTTGACCTAGGGAATGTGAAAGTCGTATGTTGCTGAGAGCTAAGTATCAGAAGTGGTTTGCTGTTAGGAGGAAGGTCTCTAATTTTCTGTTACTGAGGTTTGGGATTTGTCCTGAGATCCATCACTTCCCTATCTTCAGGAGAGTTCCAATAAATTTACCTTTCTTAAGTTTTCTAATATTGGCTACAACCAAAAGAACCTTAATTAACATAGTCTCTGTGTGATAGAAGGCTCCTTGGAGACAGGCCAGATTTTCATTCATTCATCCATTTACTCATCAAACATTTATTGAGCACTTGCTATGTGCCAGGTACATGCTAGGTGCTGGGAACCCAAAGATAAATCAGACAACTGCCTGAACTCAAGGAGTTTGCTTTCTGTCTAGTTGGAGGTATGAATGTATCCAATCATTCATTTATTTATTTAACAAATAATTCATTTATTCAACTAACATTGCCAACATTCATTTAATATTATGTAACAGGCCCTATACTAAACACTTTTCTTATTTAATTCTCACAACTCTATGAGGCACGTCCCATTCCACAGATGAAGGAACTGAGTCACAGAGAAATTAGGCAGCACTGCCTAAATTACAGGTTTTCTAAGTGCTGCAGCTGGTCTTCAATCTTAGTATGTATGGCTGCAGAGCTCTTGCCTCTACCCACTGTGTAACCTCTCTGTCAAAATAAAAAATCTCAAAGCAGTGTGATACATGCTTACACAGGTATGTATGAAGTTTGCAGAGGAGAAAGCAAATAATTTTGTGGAGGTTGGCGTTCAAGAAAGGCTTTACAGCGGAAGTGGTCTGAGCAATCCTGAAGGAAAAGACTGTCTAGCATAGAACTTTTCATATGAACTCTGTCAAATGATGATGAGGCAACTTATGCATCTGGAAAGGGTTGTTTTCCTGTTTACATGGAGCCTGGGGTGTTTCCTACTGCCTACTGAAGCTTCGTCTTTGTGATTTAGCAAACACATATTAAGTAATCAGATGATTTGTGTATTATATCACTGATGCTCACAAAAACCTTGTGAGATTAAGTAGTATAGGTATTAACTTCGTAAGATGAGTGAGGAAATCAGGGCCGAGTTTGCATGACTCGTCTAAAACTATACATAGTGAGTAAGCGGCAGAACAAGACAATGAGCTGGTGTCCTGCCCTCAGGAAGGAGGGACTGGTTAATAAGATTCCTCTAATCTAGCAAGGCTCCTTTCCTCCTCTCAGGGTGCAGCAGACTTTGCTCTTTCCAGTGTTTGCACCTGAGCTTCTGAAGGTTCCCTCTCTCCAGAACACCCTCCTTTTCCTTCTCAGTTCCAGCTCTCCAAGTTCTGCTCATCCACCAAGACCTTGCTTGTTCCACATACTCCTCCCAGGCCTTCCCCAGATTCATTCAGCCCATTGTCTAAGCTTCAATTAAATCCCTTAGCCCTGCTTCCAACCAGATTCCTGCCCTGAAAACTTTCTACATGGAAAGTCAACTGCCATCCAGCCTCCCTCTTCAGAAATCCTGTTCCCTAATCTCTCCAGCCATTGGTAGGTCTCTTACTGTTGCTTTCTTTATATTTGTACATCTTTTTTTTTTTTTTTTTTTGAGACAGAGTCTCACTGTGTTGCCCGGGCTAGAGTGAGTGCCGTGGTGTCATCCTAGCTCACAGCAACCTCAAACTCCTGGGCTCAAGCCATCCTCCTGCCTCAGCCTCCCAAGTAGCTGGGACTACAGGCATGCGCCACCATTCCCAGCTAATGTTTTCTATATATTTTTAGTAATTAATTTCTTTCTATTTTTAGTAGAGACTGGGTCTCGCTCTTGCTCAGGCTGGTTTCGAACTCCTGAGCTCAAACAATCCGCCCGCCTCGGCCTCCCACAGAGCTAGGATTACAGGCGTGAGCCACGCACCCGGCCATTATATTTGTACATTTTGTCTCTCACTGGAATGTAAGCTCCACGAGGCACAAGCCATATGCTTCTTTTTTAGCCTCATACATTTACTTCAGGATTATAGTGTTTACCGACTCAAAGAGATAATGTACCCTGGCCACTCTGTTAGATTGTTCAGCTCCTAAATCATGCAAAACCCATACCTGGTCCACCCCTTTCCTAAAGCTTCTGAGGGGCGAGAAAGAACGCAGGGACTCTCACAGGTACGTTCAGCAATTAATAATAACCAACACTTAATAAATGCTTACTAAATGCCAAGTCTTGTACAAAATACATTCCATGTATTAACTTATTAAGTCTTCATGACTACTATTATTATCCCCACTGAAAAGATGAAGATACATAGAGCTCACTCAGTAAGTGGCATAGTCAAGATTCAAACCCAGACCAACTCCAGAGTCCATACTCTAAACCATGACACTGAATTCTTTATGGGTAACAGAAAGTCTCTTGCTGTAATGTAGATCAATTTCCTTTCTTTCTAACGCTCTGGGAAGATAGGATTAAAAAGATGAGAAAATATTGATTATGCTCCTACTATGGGCCAGGTATTATGATAGATGCACAATGGTTTAATAATAGAATTCTTGCAATGAGTCTATGAAGCAGAAAGTATTAACTCCATTTTAAAGAATTTGACTCCCAAAGCGGTTAAATTTAGTGCTCAAGTTTTAGTTTCCAATTGTTAGCAGAGTTGGAACTAGATCAGGTTTCCTGAAACCGGGTTTCAAGGAAAGTCTTTAAAGGAGATTGTGTGAACAAAAGACTTCAGAATAAATAAATAAATAAATAATAAAATGAAGATTGTACAGAAAACCCTGACAGGGACAAATGTGAAGGGTACGTGAAACGACATCTGAATTATTACTTGAGAAACGTGTTAATGTATGCGGCATACTGAAGAATGGTGAGAGACTGTCAAAAAGGCTGTTTTATAAAAACTCACGGAGGAATCAGGGAATAAAATAAAGGAACTGCCTGCCTGTCACGGGCTAAGAATTCAAACCCTAGAACTTACCGTAGGCAAGGGAAGAGAGAGCGCCACCTGTGCTAGAGAACCCGGCAACCCGCTCAAATGATTTAGGCTCAGCCCCCTCTCTTTCTTTACACTCTAATTGGCTACTTCTTCCTGTACCCCGCCTCCCCTCAGTCTGGACCATTAAGCCGCCAAGCCTTACCTAGGACCTGGCTCGGGCCTCCAATGAGGTGCCAGGCCGACGAGTCTCTCTAGAGAAGCCCCCTCTACATCGGCGAGGTGCTTCCCTCTCGCTCGTGATTGGCCGGGCAGAGGCATAGGGTCCACCTCCCCTTCCCCCTGATTGGCCAGCAGTTCTTAGTCCCACATCCCTCTCGGCGCGACCCTGCCCGGTCTCCTCCTCCGCGGCCAAGCCCTGGGCGAGCCGCGTCCTCTGAGGAGAGGGCTCCGCCCCCGAGTGACGGCCGGGTCGGGAATTGGCGGCGGCGCTGCAGCCATTTCCGGTTTCGGGAAAGTGGGTGGGGTGCGGAGCGGGACTTGGAGCCGCCGCGGCCGCTGCCCTCTACAGAGCCTTCCTTGCGCCGGGTGCTGCCAGGAGGATGCGGCCGGGGCCCGGAGGATGCTGCTGCCGTCGCCCGGTGCGGGCGAACGGCTGCGTAGCGAACGGGGAAGTGCGGAACGGGTACGTGAGAAGCAGCACCGTAGTCGCCGCCAGCCAGGTACGGGGACACCGAGTGGCCGGCCGGGGGCCGTACGGGCCGGCGAAGGGGCAGCCGGGCTGAGCGAGGTCACGGCGACCGCCTGCGGGACAGGGCGCGACTCAGGTGTGCTGGCAGCGGTGTCCGGGCGCTGACCCCACCTTCCCGAGCCGGGAGGCTCAAGGACGGCGCAGGGGCTCCCCATCTCTCGGCGTCTCAAGGTCTTCCTCCCCTCCCCCCGGAGGTTTGAGCTTTCCTCAAAGCCCCGGGTACCTTCCTCTGCCGGATTTCTCCAGAAGTGCGGGCCGCCCCAAAAGAGAGGAAATGAGTGACCTCTCGGACCCCGATAGGAGCCATTCAGTGACTTCTGGTTCTTTCTCCCGAGGCTTCTTTCTCAAACCCCCGAGGTAGTTGCTTCCTCTTAAAGTCCTGCAGCTCTCCGAGGAAAACCACCCTTGGGGTCCTTAAGAGGCAAAGAAAGTTAGGAGGTGGTGCCAGGTGGAAACACCTCCAGTCTCTTCCTGCCACGTTCTGGACTCACTCCACAAGCACGACATTAGTCCGTAGATCTGGCGGTGAATCCAGTCCAGTGCCTCGAAAGCATTATCCTCTTACTCTGCCCCGTGATGAGACCCCATCCCAGGCTCCAGGTTGAGTTGGGTGTTCCCTTTAACTGAGCGAGAGTGGGGGGTTGATTAACCTGGTGGTGACTTGTGATGAGTCTCCAGACTAATTAACCAAGGCGGAATTATCAACCAAGTTTAGGCAGTTCTGAAATACTTTGAAAAGTTCTGAATTCAAGACAATACTTATTATCAACCTTCCAATTCTCTGGACTGACAGGTATTCTGCTGAAATGTATTTTTAAAGATGAGCTGGTTAAAAAGATGCAAGATCAGTGTTTCTGGGAGAGAGAGTGTTGTAATAATTTGCACTTGACTTTAATACTTTTAAGTGTCATTGAGACATCAAGGAAAACTTCTTAAAAAGTACTGTTTCCCTTAGCAGGGGTGTGACTGTTGCAGGATGGTGATCTTAATTTGGCTTTAACATAAAATATCTGGCAGCTTCCTCCCCAAATCAGTAACTGTGATGAATAGGCCTGTTACTCTTTGGTGTGAAATAGAAAATAAAGCATTTCTTCAGGTCATGTTGAGATACTGAGACTAAGAGTTGGAAAAAATACACGAAAGAGACTTGACCTCCCTGCAGTTGTAAGGTGTCAAGGCAAAGTAATACGTAGATTCAAAAGATTTGTTTTCATTTTTTAAGAAATAATTGTGTGAGAGAGGAAGTAATAAGAACCAGCTCATTATAAGCAGTGGAAGAATTTGTCATTTTCCTGGCAATGTAAATGGCCAATAAAACAAAATTGTAGTGGTATAGAATGTAACAGGAAAATTTAATGGGTAGGAGTTAGAAAATACATTTCGGGTGAAGGAGTGAAGTATGATTATTAAGCGGAAAAAGGAAGTCAGGAGAAAGGTGTTCACATTTTAGAGGTGCTTTGTGTTTGAGTGTTCCTTTTGGTACCTAGGAGTTACGTTCTGATTTAGTAATAAATCAAGCTCTTCCATCCCATAGTCTCTTAACAGTTTAGCATTTGTAGGCCTGATATTTCTTCAGAGGTCACCAACTAATAAGAAACATTAAGTTACTAAAATGAAATTTTAGAAATCTGTATGACTGTAACATCTGGTTGACTTTCTGGACCATATTTTAGTGAACAATTTCACTCAAGGCACATTAGTGGTATTTGGAAGAATGGTCTCTTGGAATGTCCTAAGGGCTGCAGTATCCCTTCTAGAAAATTGTTTCTCACAAGTCTTTTTAAAACAAAAATTTCAGATCTGTAGCTCTGTACAGTGATATAGAGGAATATTATCTGTGGGTTTTTTTCTTTCTCTTATGTGAAAGAGAGATCTTGATAACTTCATGAGAGCAATGCAGTATCTTTAAAAATATTTTAGAAGTTTTATTTATGTTTTAATTAAAGTGATGTGCTAGTGCTCCAACCTCTATCTTTTCCCTCTTTCTGGGAGAAGTGTTGGCAGTTATGCTATCAACATTTACATAAGATGTTAGGTGCATAGGTGTGTGTTATGCTTTTACTAAGATGTAAATTTAAAGTATAATATGATTGAGATGTAAGTTCATTTCCTCATTTATCTTGACATTTGTCTTTTAATTAACAGAAGTTAGAAATTTATAAGATCGCTTTACACTCTCAAGAGTATGTTTCTGTTTTCAAAGGGATGAATGCATATGCTAAAAGAGTAACTCTTGAATATGGGTTTAGAGTTGGATTAAATAGATGCTGTAAGTAGGAAGGAGTTATGAAACACTCAGACATTACTTTTTTATGACTACAGTAGACACAAAGTTCATAAGAGTTGCAGTTGAACAATAAAGCAGTAATTTTTCCTCCCTACCATTCAGATGGGGTTGGCCTTTATTTGAGGTAAAGGATTACACTTAGCCTTAGGGAAACTTTGACATTAGCATCGGAAAGAACCTCTAGGGGTTCGTGTAGTTCAGTCTCTTTATCTCTTTTGGAGGACTTTAATAAAACCAATCTTGCTAGAAGATTCTATCCTATTTTTAAAGACCTCCAGAGGATTTGCAGGAAATTTTCTTGACCTCAAGTTGCATTATTCAGTGATCTTAATTATAAAAGGTTTCTTTCAGTGGATTTAGCATTTGAGTAAATAAATGCCACATTTTGGTTGCACCTGAAATATAATAGTTTGTTTTTAAAATTCCATGTTAATAGCACTTTTTAAAAGATCTTCCATTTCTTTATAGAACTTTTGAGATTTGGATCCACATTTTACTTAGTTAACAAGTATGAAAGGAAAAAAAACATCTGCCTTTAAGACAGTTTTGAACCTAACTTTCATCCTTTTGGGAGTAGTTTTAGTGAGATATCACAACGATGAGAGCTTTCTGGTTGCCAGAATAAATAAGGTTGCATCTTGAGGAATTGGTACATAAGTTATATTCTTAGGCTAAATAATAAGAAAAGCAAAGTAGAAAGAACAAAGTGTCCTGGCCAGGCATGGTGGCTCACGCCTGTAATCCTAGCACTCTGGGAGGCTGAGGTGGGAGGATTGCTTGAGATCAGGAGTTTGAGACCAGCCCTCAACAAGTGTGAGACCCTGTCTCTACTGAAAAATAGAAAGAAATTAGCCAGACAACTAAAAATAGAAAAAATTAGCCTGGCATGGTGGTGCATGCCTGTAGTCCTAGCTACTCGGAAGGCGGAGGCAGGAGGATCGCTTGAGCCCAGGAATTTGAGGTTGCCTTGAGTTAGGCTGACACCATAGCACTCTAGCCTGGGCAACAGAGCAACACTCTGTCTCAAAAAAAAAAAAAAAAAGTGTTAGTCTTGCTACTTATACTTAGAAGGAGGCAAATAAATAACTAATGAAGGGTAGTTTACTAAATAACTACTAGCTTTTCTTTCTGCTGAGGGGATTTAACTTGATAGTACTTGAGGAAAAGGAGAAGTAAGTTAGACAGGAACAGGAGGAATAGCTAAAATGGCCTATATACCTATTCAAGTTCAGCAGGGCCTGATGAGACACACCTTGAAGACCTCAAGACTTTGCAGAAAAAATGTTGTAACTACTTATAACTTGTGGGACCAGATTTTTGTTTCATATGTTTTTGTTTCACGAGGAAGAACATCTTTTTTTTTTTTTTTTTTTGAGGGGGGAAGAACATCTTGATTCTTACTACCTGCATCTGAAAGATTCCAGAGTTGTATGAGGTACTCAGGAATTCTCTTCAATAGGAATTCTTGGGAAATATATAAACAAGTGTATTCTTGAGGTAGTATTTTAGAACTTGAATGTTCAGGGAAGGCAGACTTGTCCATTTTTTAGGGTTGGCCCAGGTGTCCTAGAAACTTGTGGTGCTCTGAGCAAGATAGTTAATTGGTTGATTCAATTAGATTCAATTTTTGAAAGAAAGAAGCAGTGTTTATTGGTAGAATGGGCAATTCAGAGGGACGGGTAGAGGCAGTGTTTGCATTCTGAGTGGGTGTGATGGTTTGTGGCCTCAGAAGTCAGTTGCCTTCTGAATGGTTTCTAAGAAGCCTTCTATAATATAAGCTGTAATTTGTGACCAATTAAGAAAGTAAGCCTCTTGCTCTTGACCCGTTTAATCTCAGAAAATTTACCTTACATTTGTTGTCTTTAAGATGCCTTTTCATTATGAAGCTTGAGGTGGCTATTTTTCCTTTTCTTTTAAAATGATTTTTACTTCTGATTATAGAAACAGTGTTTAATGAGGGGTCTTAAAGCATTGGGATAATCTCTGTGTTGGGGGTTCATTTTTTAATGTCTGCTGTAAATCAGTCTGCTGCTTTCTGATAATTTCCAAGAATGGCAAAATATGCAATTGTACTAAGATTATGGGAGTGATCTCTAGCCTTACTCCAAATAATACATATGGAGGTTGGGGAAAGTATTCAACAATTTTTGTAATATGGAAAGATCTAGAAACTATTTTATAGATAAAGAACAGCTCTGTTAACTGTGATGATCTTGAATTATTCTAAATAGCAACTTGCTGCCTAATTAGCAAGCCCCTAATGAAAACATTTGAGATTTTCCTATTTGCATTGTGCCTGATATGTAGTAGGAACTCAGGAGATAGTAGTTGAAGGAATGAATGGGTGGTAGTTCAAGCCATGGGAATTGGTAAAGTAGGTAGAAGAGGGCGTTAAGCAAGAAGAAGAGGTCCCAAGTATATAATCTGGAGGATCATAATGTTCCTGGAAGAGGGCGCGTGTGTGCACGCGCGCACACGTACACACACACACACACACACACACACACACACTTCTGAAGAAGATTGTGAAAGAACACAGTGGGGAGGAAAGATGTGGGAAAAGCTCAGGGAAATGGAGGCTATTTCATTAAGGAGGGCTAAGCAACATCTTCAGTTGGTGAGAAACCAAAGAAAATAATAGTAATAGGCACCATTTACTGAGTATCTGCTGTGCGCCAGGCCCT